TTGCATTTTTACGTTTATACATATATGTCATTAATAATTTAAAAAATTGTATATAATTCGTTAAATATTATTATATACAAATATTTCCATAAACTTAACTTTAATTGTATATTTATTTTGCAAGTTGCTTAAAATTGCTATAAAGAAGTATAATTTTTTGTAAATTGTAACTTTACTTTATATGTATAAACATATACTTTTATAACAGTAAATCCAAAAATTACACTATAATTATTATATATATTATATATATATTATAATTTACATGCAATTTTTTACAGTGACTGTATCTTTTCTTTTCAAAATTAATTTTATTATTTGATACTTTCGTATAAAGTATATTAAAGATAACAAAATTACATACATATATACATATACCATACTTAATTTATGTTTATATATTTTTTTTCTTCTCTTTATTTGCATATCTTTTTTATTGAATCTTTTAATGTATCGATGCATTTAATGTTTTTAATGTTTTTTAATTTTTGCGCAACGGTTTTCAATCCCTTTCATAAAAAAGGGAATGACAGCGCAGAGAATGCAGCAAGTAGTGACATCGATCCGCATTTGTCAAATGCGACTTTACCTCTTTCTTGCGCTGTTTCGCTCAGTGATGACGTTTTCCGAATGAGCGGCTCTCCGCCGCCGGATCTCGCGGAATGTCGCGGAATTCGTAACTGGGGATTAGCATGTCATAAATACTGATGGCGCGGCGCGGCGCGGCGCTACTCCTTCGGGTGCCTTTCGAAACACGCCATTCGGTTCTCCATCGAATACCCACCAGTCAGGACTATCCGGGGGTGGTTACCCGCCGGGGGATGAAGCTTCTCATTTACAAGCCATATACCAATCAGCGGCCATCATGCAAATAACATGAGACCCGGCTCCCTCGCACACGCGGTTGAACACGAGCGGATCTGAACATTTATTGTGCGAAATGCAAAGTAACATTTGATATTACGGTTGCGACGGATTTTTCGGTTGATTTAGCGGCTTAGTTTATTTTTACCGAAAAATTTCTTTTATATTTGACATTGGAATAAATCATTTTTTAATAATTTTTGAGAAAATGTATGCCATTTCAAATAATATATCAGATGTATGATACTTTGAAGAATATATGTATATGTAAATATCGTTATATAATCGTGATATACTTATTCGTCTAAAAATAAGATATAACTGATATGGGAAAAAATTTAATTTGGTATAGAATTGCTGTTAAAAAAATAACTGTTTTTCTTCTAAAAATGAAAAAAATTATAATTTCTATTTTTTTTAAATTTGTTAATTGTAGAGGACGAATAATTAATAAAATATTTTTAGATCGCGCGAATGTGTGATAAGTGATAGATTAGATAAGTGATATAGATATCGAAAACAAATCAATATCTATTACAATATGTTAAAAGTAAATGTGTATTAGGAGAAAATGATATTCATGGGGAAAGAAGGACGCAGCAAATTTGCTCGATTTCATAATTTATTTAGGAACTTCTCGATATTATCATACCGTGTATCTGCATCGCATTCACTAACTTAGAACCTATGCGTATAATATTTACACTCACATCGTATGCCATAAATACATGATCCTCGCTCGCACGCGCACTCGTATGGGACAATACTCAAGTAACGCCTATGTACCAGGAACGATCCTACTGTTTTCTCTTTACACCGTTTATATGAACAACGTCACGATTCCAGCGTCTGCTTGGTGTCTCTTCTATTTTACAAGCCGAGCGAACATAGAATAAATAGTCTAGGATGTCTATATACATGATGAATTTATATTAAATGGCATGGCATTCGTCTCGAGGTTTCAAAGCTCTTGAAGGTAGATCTTTGTTGTCACATATGTGTAGGTGTTGTTAACTCACACGATTACGACAGATACATAAATCTTCTATCGAAACGTGATTTATTGTCCGCCATCTCTCCGGCAGGCAATAAAAAGATAATTTAATTATAAAATCAATATCCCGCTGGTTTGAGCAAGACGCTTTTCTAGGATCAGCAGTGACACTCGTATATCTAATAATCGTGATTAACAAGCGAGGTTTCGTTAATGATGGTGTTTGTGAATATCGTCTCGTTCGCACTTATTTACATCAGAATTTTGGCTTAGTAAATTAGAGATGAAATATATACATGAGAGATCGACTGTTTTCGGTAAAAAACGTTTAACGAGTGGAGATCGAAATTCATTGAAACCGATGTAATTTTGATAATTTCGATGTACACGAAAATAATTTTCACAGATGAGCGCAAGCCGCATGTTCTCGATGAGAAAGCAAAATTATACCCGTCTCGATCCTTGATAAGTCATGATAACTTTTACAATCATCATAATCGACTACCAAAATTATATCGCAATTGATAGTAAAGTGGAATATTTCTGTTTCTCACTATAAAAGTTTCTATACAGGAACAATCGCACAATGCCGAATTAATACGCAGAACTTAGTTCTATTAACCGAATCTTTAGATTTGTCTTGATTCTGAAATAACAACATAAGTTGTTGAACAACTTAATTTTCCAAGAAACAATCGGCTTGACGGCAATTTATATTTTTTTAATCGTTAGGGGACCAAATTAATTTTCTTTAATCTGCCAGGAAAAATATTCCTTTTTGGTATATTCTGTTTATGCTTTTTAATTAAATTGGTATTTAAATAAAAGTATTAAATAAAAATAAATAATTACGCGGCAGAATAAAAAATAAAATAAGCGGCAGAAATATCGTAAACACATTGTTGATTTCCTCTTCGCATAATTTCAAAAACTGTTGGTTCCCCAACAGTTTAATGCCTTCATCGGTTTTTTAGACCACATAAGGCCGATACAAGGGTTCTTGGAGATCCGTTCCAGTTCTCTGACTTTCTTGAAGCGTTCCTCTAGAGTCCTCCGGTGTTCCGGGTGCATTCACACTGACGTCACTTCCAGTGTCCCTCTCAGTGCTCCTCGTGCTTCCAGCTTCGTCGACCTTTCCGCTCGAACGAGCTTCCTGCTGTGCCTTCTTACTGCGCTTCCATTTCATCCGGCGATTTTGAAACCAGATTTTTACCTGCAATTAAAGTACATCGTGTAATTATTTACGGTGTATGAATTTATTAAAATTTCACGCGAAAATAAATTAAGCGATTTCGAAAAATTAACAATTATTACGTATGTACACACACATTTGATAAAATATTTTAGATAATTTTAGATAATTACGAAATACTATTCGCGAAAAAAGAATTTGACGTAATATTCATTTAAATTTATTATTAAATTAATATTACAAGTGCGATATAAAAAAATTATTTAATACTTAAAATGTGAAGGAAAAGTTAAAAGTTGTTATATTTATTTATTTTAATATTTATTTTAATATTTATGTCATAGTAATGAATTATACGTGATTTTTATAATTGATTATTCTGTCATATAAAGTCATTTATTTTTATCTTATATAAAACTAAATATTGGAGTATGTTAAGTTAGCATCCCAACTATAATACTCAGGAGTTCTGATTAGAGTTCCCACTTCCTTTTGACGAGACGAAGAGTTCCCTATAGTTAATAACAAGAGTTCCGCTCAATAAACATTTTTTTTACATTTTTAAAAAATGGGGTGCTAACTTTTTATCCAATTTCGAGGTGGAATAGTTCTGAGCGGCTTAATAGCTTCAATTTGCGATTGCCTAGAGTTCCTGATATGTAAAAAAAATTTTCGAATAATAAAAAAAAAATTAAAAATTTTTGAAAAATTAATTTTTAGATACAATAGTTCTAATGATAATTTCTGCTTCTTTTTGACGATACGAAGAGTTCTCTATGATTTTTAATGACATATACGCTTAATAATCATTTTTTAATAATTTTTAAAAAATGGGGTGCTAACTTTTTAACGAAATTCAAGGTCGCATAGTTCTGATCAGCTTAACAGAAGTATTTTGTGAATACCTAGAGTTCTTGATACATAAAAAACATTTTTGAAGAATAATAA